CCCCCCCCCCCCCCCCCAGAGGCACTCTAACACTGAGCTATATCCCTAGCCTTTTTTATTTAGGGACAGGAACTTGCTAAGTTGCTGAGGCTGGCCTTGAACTTGTGTTTCTCCTGTCTCAGCCTCCTGAGTATGTGACAGTGCACCTGGCAATTTCATTTATGTACTAAAAATGTTTTTTATTTGTTTTTAAACAGTTGTTAGCATCTCATTATTAGACATTTGAATCAATCTTTTAAAACAATTTTTAAAGAAATGATAAAAATAAAGAATTGACTGTATTCCCTTTTAAATTTGTGCATGTGAGGGATTTCTTGCTATTGGTTCAAATCAAGTAAAATTGTTTCCTTTTTTAAGAAATTTCATTACTATAAGCTAAAAATGTTAAATAAAATACTTTAACACTGGTTTTATATAAGAATTTGGTCAAATTGAACCAGGTATCTGAATTGAACAAGTGTTCTGTTTGAATATGATGCTTTAAAACCTTAACAACTTCTCCATATTTCTTTGAATGGCTAATGAGTGCATTAAAACAACAGTCTGTAGTGATAAATTCAGTGGGTTTTGTTAATATTTATTTACAGTTGCCCATTCTTTCAAATGTTCTATAATTTGGTTTTTAGATAATTCAGAATATTTTAGAGAAAAATTTTTCTTTAATATTTGGGAAGATTTTCTACAATCTGTCTGAAGAGGCAGGCCTGCACCCTGATTTAATAGCATAATAGTGTTTTCTATTTAAAAGATTTTCATTGCTAAGGTGTTCCTCTCCCTTTGACCTATCCTAGGACATTGTTAGTTATTAGAAGAAAGCTGAGCTCTTTTCTTATGTGAGCACTTCTTGAGATTTCTGTAACCTTGAAATATATATTTGGTGAAGTGGCATGAGTTCATCTAGGCACAAAGGAGTGAAGAACTTGATGATTACATTTTAGTTTCTAGAAACTTAGATTCTTCACTTTCTTATGTTCTTCTGAGACCTTCTACTGAAAGATGTGCCAAATGTCAAATGTCCCAGTAAAATACTTTTCACAGACTCGAAAAAAGGTTGAAGAGCTATTCTTAATTGACCATAATAAAAGAAATTATAGGCATTTATCCCACTGACATTATCTGATGTGAATGATCCATGGAGTATAAAAACCAAAACAATTGGAAGTTAATTAACCTTGCATTGTTGAGGTGGGGAGCGCTGTTCTGCTGCAGAAGAGGATTATTACATTTGCTTGGTACTTTTTTGTTACTCATATTATTATTTTTTCCTTCTAGGAATTTCTGGAGTAGGGCAGTACAAGTAATAGTTCGTGTCTTGTTGGCTTATTTGAACATTAGTAAGTGAAATCGTTTTTATAGAAGACAGAGTAATAAAAAGCTTCTGCTAATTTCTTTTTACCTTAGCCCAGAGAGCATGGGACTTCTTGACCCAGCCACCAGTGATGGGCGAGTTATTTTCTTCTTACCCTGGCAAAAGATGACTATTGCTGGCACTACTGATACGCCAACTGATATCACACAGCACCCTATACCTTCAGAAGAAGATATCAACTTCATTTTGAATGAAGTGCGTAACTACCTGAGTTGTGATGTTGAAGGTATGTGTTTCTTTAAGTTTGACCTCTCTTTGATAGCTCTGAAAGCTTTCCAGCTCTCACTGGAATTACCTTGTCTCCAGACTGACTCATCTTCACCCCTGGCCTATTATAACCCAACTTGCTGCCTACTTCTATAAGATTTATGAGGACCAAATTGTCACATAATAAAAAACAATTGCCTTTTCTTCTCTGCTTTCTGCATTCACTAAAAACTCATGCAGTTCATTTCTGAAACATTCTAATAGCAAGAAGGGAGTGCCCCACTCTAGTTTAAATGCGCATACATTTCCAGAACAGTCCAGCAGTATTTGATTCACTGTTTAGTTCTATAGCTTGGGAAGTCTGATTTTAGAAATAGGATATCCATAGGAAATATTTAAGCAAAGAAATGAATAGGTACAAGTACATGTTCTAATAAGTTTGTATTTTAGTTTATTTTATGTTGCTATAACAAAATAGCTGAGACTATGCTGCAGTCTGGCTGGGCAAAGTAACCGGGGGGTGACAGGCAACTTGTGAAGGTTGAAACAGCGGGAGCCACTTTATTGTAGGACAGTAGAGGTATATATACATTACTGAATACACAGCTTGACTCAAAGTGCCAGGCGCCATCTTGACTTGTCTGTGGCCCTCAACAAGACTAGATGCTTTCATTAAGAAAAAAAAAAAAAAAAAAAAGATTTATTTAGCTCACAGTTTTGGAAGCATAAAGTCCAAGATGGGGCCACCTCATCTGTTTGGCCTCTGGTGACTGTCTCCTGACTATGTCACCACAAGATAGATAGAATCTCATAGTAGAGTACAGATGACAAAGCAGGAGAAGGGACAGAAAAAGGGAGAATAGGAGAGGAAGCAAGAAAATAGGGAGGATCCAGTCTTGCTCTTTTATGACAAGTTTCTCTTGGGAGTTCTCCTGGATTGGTAGCCTAATCCACTCTATGATACTGACATTAAATTCTTTCATAAGTGTGGTCATAATGCTGCCATCTTCCACTGGGCCAAGGGTGGTCATAATGCAGCCATCTTCTATTGGGCCCACCTCTTAGAGTTCCCACCACCTTCCAATACTGTTACAGTGGGGACCAAGCTTCCAGCATGAACCTTTGGAGAACAAACCATATTCAAATCAGAGGATCTGTTACTGTGTGGAAAGTACAGCGAAGCCAAAGTTTACATCTTTCCAGTTCTTACCTGGGTATTTAACTTGGTTGTCAAAGCTTTTCGTCCAATGATTTTGTATAATGTCTATTATTTTTTCAAGGATAATTTCAAAAATTCCCCAACATTATCCTTCTGTATTTCCAGTCTCAGTTACTAGGCTCACCATTTACCCTTCAAATCCACATGTCTTGTTTCAGTTCAGTCATATTCAGGGGTGTCCTCTATAGTAACTCTTCATCTTAGCAAAATATTCACACTTCAGAAACCACCCCTGCCAGGCACAGCAGCCCATGCCTGGCTAACTTTTGGTGAGGCCCTATGCAACATAGAGAGAACCTGTCTCAAAATAGAAAGCAGGGTGGTGGTGCTGGAAATGTAGCTCAGTGGTAAAGTGCCCCTGGGCTTAATCCCAAGTACCAAAAAAAGAAAAAAACAAGAACAACCAAAAAAACCCAAAACACCTCTCTCTTCTCATGGGTCATAGTGCTACTATATCACAACATGATTATTGCAATAGTCCAAGATCTATTCTCACTTAGAGCTGCTTCAGGATAAGGATCCTTTTTTTTTTAAAACCACAAAGCTTTATTATCTCGCTGACATGCTACTCATGATAGTTTTAAATTTAAAAAGTCAGTTATAGATGCTTCTGGGATTTTGATATTGGTAACAGTTTAAAAAATTTTTCCTATATTAAAGCAGATGGTTTAACATTTTGGAAAAATAGTCCATGCATTTATATTAGCAATTTTATAATGCTGGCTTTATTGAAGGACATGCAGACATCATTTTAGTATGAATGCAACTCATTGACATCTGTAAATCCTTTCTCCCTGAAGGATTTTTGTGTGTGTGTATGTGTGTGTGTGTGTGTGTGTGTGTGTGTTTTCTCATATTTACAAAGAAAACAAACAGCTTTGAAACATGGTTCAGGTTGCTCTCTTACTTTAATCAATTAATCCATACTATATAACTTAGTTGCTTCTACTCTAAAATAATGGATATAATTTTACTCTGAATAGAGCCTCTTTAGATATTTGCAATAATAATATAAATATATTGAAATCTACATGGCTAATGTTTTTTGATGTGGGGTTTCATTATGTTAACCAGGCTGAACTTGAACTTGCCATCCACTTTCCTCAGCCTCCCTAGTAACTGGGATGACAGGTGTGTGCATCATGCCCTGCATGCATGGCTAATGTTTATACTTACTTTCTCTCTCTCTCTCTTATTTGAGAAGTAGTTATGCCTTGTTTAACATGCATATTTAAATATTCAAACCACTTTGCAATTTTATATTGATACTTTATATTTACTTTGAAAGTTTAGGAGGAGCTTCAACATTTGGGTACAGTTGTATCTGATTCAGTGCATTTATTATTGACAATAATTCTACTTTATTGTATATTAAGCTGTGTATAATTGTTGTTTAAAGTAGGTTTCTATCTGGGTCTTAAGATCAGTAAGTTTAGATTGTTAGAGAAAATATAAATTAATATTAACTCAGTTAATATTAATTAATCAAGAAAATATAAGATTAATTCCAAAATCTTAAAGTTCAAGTGCAGTAAGGATATGCAACCTAACTGCTTACACAGCTGAGAAGCTGGATATCCTGGATGCAGTGGGGTCCTGGAGGCCACTGTGCCCATGTGTGGTGGGCATCTCCACTGGAGGAGTGAGCCTCAGGCTCTGACGGGGACTGAAGGATTTTGAATCTGTCCATAGATAGAGAGAAGACTTGGATTACCTGGTTAGTTCATAGACTGCCCTTCAATTAACATATCTTTTGGTAGTCAGGGAATGGGTGAAACTAACAAAGAATTATTGTTAATTCTGATATTTGATAAAGAGGTTAAAATTATTACTTAAAAATTACATATCAGATGTTTTTCCTGGCAGCCTAGGACATCTTGAGAGTCAGAGTCTTCCAGGTAGCAAATATCCAGGGTGAAACCAGAGGTAACAGCTCTGTCACAGATGTCACTTGTTTCCCTGTGTGTACCTCCTATCACATCTTCACTATATATAAACCTATGCTTTAAAAACTATAATTGACAGTGGTTCTATGCTTTTTTTTAAAAAAAAATTAATTGACAGTGATTCTTTTAGCCTTTTTTTCCTTATTCTAGTTCACGGATGGCCTCATATTTGAGGAATTCCACTTTATCTTGATAAAAAGTGTCACTTAGCTGACTTACGTCCATGTCTTAAGATGACACATTTGTATATTTTCACCAGGAATCTCAGTGAAATCTGCAATTCTCATCTATACTAATGAGATGTGAGAAAGAAACACGGCTTCAGGCACCATTCAGTCATTTGATTACATGCAGTTTCTACACATGTTTTAATATTTGCATTTGTATGTTTTATTGTTAAGACTGTGCTATTATTCAGTGTGTTTTATGCAAGACACTCTGCTAAACAAACATATTGCCTATATTATTCCTTTGTTCCTTATAACAACCTTATGGTGTATATTTTGCAAGTCCCACAATGGTTAAAGAAACTGAGGCCCAGAGACATTGTTTTCTTTGTATAGCTAGTTTTAGAGCCTCAACATGAGCATAAGTCTCTTGCTAATATGCTCTTCTAAATACTGCATAGTATTCTGATTAGTAGTTCTGGATTTCATGATGTGATATATCTACTAGGGAGTAGATTAAGTCTGTGAATTCATTTAATGGAAACTACTGGACTCCTCTAGAATGATAGGGACCTTTGTTCTCTATGGCCTTATTTGGGTTTGAATGTTAAACTAGAGAGGTTTTATATCTTATAACTATTCCCTTGGGCCAACCAGTCTTCTCCAAAGATTTAAAAATCAGAAGTTTGGTTTAGGTCCTGACTTTGAAATGGTTTGCATTCATCAGGTTTGAAATAATCATTCTAAAAGGATTTATTAAATGGATAAGTAAAATTCTGACAACAGTTTCTGAGCCTCCCCAAATGGCTATATCCTTAAGAGAAAAAAAAAAAAAAGTGTCAAATCTTAACACTCCATGCTGTTCACAGCAGCTGCCACACTTCTGCAAAATGCGACAGAACAATTCTGCAAAGCGTTTTGCCTGTTGGGAATAAGACCATGTCTTCTTTTACAATTTAGAAAGCCTTCCATTCACAGGCTGAATTTTCTAGATTACTTGTTTGTTCTTTTCTGAAACCGGTAATTGATAGTTCTGCAGTTCGTATTGAGTTAGGAAGAAAAATGATCTTTTGAAAAATGTATCATTAAGTCTGCTGTGTAGAGGTTAATCAGAAGGATGCAGTGGTGAGACTAAGCTATGACTTAACTGGATTGAGAGAGACAGAAGATTTGCTGAGTGCTTTATCCATGTAGTTTTTCTGGAGTGCTTTTCTAGGCAGCATCTCTACTTGTACACAGGTTTTCACATGTGCAATTAGTAGTGTTTATAGATTGCCTGTTATTCAATTAACAACTGAGCTGGCCATATCAACTCACTGCAGGCCTGCCTTTCCTCTGCCAGAGATTGTACCAGGGTTATCAACTTACACAGGCTTGGATGTCTTCCAGCTGTTTAATTATAGTGTCACACGCTTTGCTTTTTCTAGTTTCATTAGTTTATAAATGTAATATGGTATCTTATTTCTGTGATTAACACTTCATTTCAGCAGGTTAAACGTGCTGGTAGAGAAGTATTGATCTCTGACACTATTTCCCCTGTGTTCGCTTAGATATTTTCACATGGCTCTTATTGATTTTTTTTGGAAGTGGCAAACATGAGAAAGAACACCCCAAAATGTATGCCTAAATAACTAATGTGAAGCAAAACCACACATTTAGCTCTTAATTGTCACTTCCTGTGGGCTTC